AGGCTTCTTGGGCCGTCTTCGAGCCCTCTTGGGCCATCTTGGGGCCCTCTTGGGGGCCTCTTGGGCCCTCTTGGGGCGAGCTTGGGGGCCTCTTGGGCCGTCTTGGGGCGTCGGGAAGCCGAAAAGGTGGAAGCTCCAAAATCTCTCAAAAACTTAAGGAAAAACAATGAATTTTGCCTCCGGGGGCCCTCTTGGGAGTGCTCTTGGAGGCCTCTTGGGGCGTCTGGGGGCTATCTTGGGCGTCTTGGAGCGATCTTGTGGCATGTCGGACCCCTCGTGTACCATCTTGGGGGCCTCTTGGGGGCCTCTTGGCCTTTCTTGGGGCTCTCGGGGACGTCTCGGAGCCCTGTTGGTGCGCTCATGGGGCGCTCTGGTGGAGTCGCCCGGGGATCAGCCGGGAGTCGCCCGGGGTACTTTTCGTCCGGGGGCCCCCAGGGGCCGCCCCGCGCGCGCGAACTAGAGAATTGTTAACCAGTTACCGGAGATCTTAGCACGCCTCTGGCCCGTTGGGCCGGCGAATTTGTAATGTTTCGCTCCACATCCGCCTGTAGGGGAACATGCCCGACCTGAGACTAGGGGGAGGTGGATAATATGGCGGGGGCCATGCGATCTCCCCAGTTTCCATGGCGCTTCTTCTTGTTTCAATGCGTTCCACTTGGGCCGCGCACGTGACGGGGGTGGCCAAGGGGGGGTGATGACCAGGGTGAAGTCGGGCCTGCCGTTCTAAAGGGGGAGTATCCAAAAATAGTCAAGAGATAGTCGGGGGACGATTTTCCGACATTAAAAAAACAATTTACGATTTTGTGGGGGGTATTTTTTGAATATTTCGCCGAAAATCCGCCTGTGGGGGGACATGCCTGACCTAAGAATAGGGGCGGTGGATATTATGGCGGGGGCCATGAGATCTCCCCAATTTTCATGGCGCCTCTTGTTGTTTCAATACGTCCCTGGCCATCCCCCCCTGGGCCGCGCACGTGCCGCCGGCCATGGTTTGCGCCCTCCCCCCCGCCCCTCTTGGACGCCCCCCTCCCATTGGCCGCCCCCCATCATGCTGGCCTTCTGCTCCGCGAAGCGCGCTTGCAAGGACCTCGCAGCTGGCTGGGGGTCGAGAGGTGGCCCAGCACTGGTTCCGGCCAGGAAGGGTGGGAAGAGGTTCGGAGCGCTGGGTTTTGGAAGATTTTGTGCCTTTTTCGTCCTTCGAGGGCCGTTTTCGGACCCCCGGCACCGTCAAAAACGAATCCGGGGTGGAAAAATATACAATATGGCCCCCAGGAAGTGTCGGGAGACCGATTTTGAGATGTGTCTTCATCTCACCATCATGGCTGATTCTCGGGTCTCAGGACCAGTTCAGACCCCCGGCCGCCTCCCGCAAGGACCCCTTTATCATCGTGACCCTCTGGGGCGGTGACGTCTACCTGCGGCAGTGCCGCATCAACAGCCTGGAGCACCCCGGGCTCTACCTCATCGGGCCGGAGGACCTTGCCCTGGCCGCCTCCACGCGGGGGCTGCCAAGGGTGTCTCTGGCCCGAGGCGTCCCCCGCCTCTCGCTCCACCCCGTGGGCCCCTGGGGCCCTCTGGGCCTCGTGATGGGGCGCTCTGGAGGCCGCGGGGGCCTCCTCGGCACTCCTGGGGCACCGTCCGGGCTCTCCTCCCTCGGTTTTCCTCCGCTCCCTCGCAGTCGCGGCTTTGCTTGGAAGCCCCGCCTGCGTGCGAGGGTGCGCGTCGCCCTCGGCTTCGCCTCTCTCTCTCTCTCTCTTGCACGCCGGACAATGTTTGCCCATCGGTTGCCCCCGATCAGCCCCACGCTGGTGCGGACTGCCTCTGCCTCGCGCGCCCCCTTGGAGCGCCGCAGCCTGGACCGACTGGGCACCCCGGGCCGCAGGGGCACCCCTCTGGCGGCGCCCGGGCCCCGTGCTGCTCGCGCTGCAGCGTGCGGCGGAGCTGCCCCGCGGCCTCGTGGCCTTCGGCATGTACCTGAGCGACTACACGTGCCTGGCGGACCGGCACATGGTCGGGCCAGGCGTCCCGATCTTCGCGTACCTGCGACGGGACAGCGTAGAAGAAGAAAAAACGGCATACACATTGACTTGTGGCGTTCCGCGCGGATGTCTTGGATCCGCGCTGGGCGCCCCAGGCGGCGCCTCCGGCCTCGCCCCTGGCGGGCTCCGCGCGCCAGGGAGGGGGGTCCAGCTCAGATCCAAGAAATCCGCGCGGAGCGCCAACAAATTATGTTTATGCTGTTTTCTCCTCCCACACCAGACACCAGGGGCGGCCTGACCGACCCCCGGCAGATTACATCCCCTTCCGTGACGCACCCCAAGACGCGTGTGTGCGTGTGTGTGTGTGTGTGTGTGTGTGTGTGTGTGTGTGTGTGGGGGCCAGAAGGGAGCTGAGCAAGGCGAGGACGACGCCACGGAAGGCGCTGGGTCACGGTAGGGGTCGGCCAAGCCGCGCCCCAGGACACGTCATGGGTCGTCCCGTTCCCCAGCTCCTTCACCCTGCACGCCGCCTACCAGACCCGCGGTCTGCTGGCCCCCCCTTGGGCCCACAGCTACCCCGCCCCTGGGGCGGCCGGCGGTCGCCTGCCCCGTGCTTGCTCTGCAGTTACCGTGGATCGACCCCCCCTCCTTGGGGTCCTCCAGCCGCAAGCCCCCTTCTCGTCCTCCTCCTCGTCCTCGTCCTCGTCCTCGTCCTCGTCCTCCTCGTCCTCCTTCTTCTCCTCCTGCTGCTCCTCCTCCTGCTCGTCCTCCTCGCCCTCCTCCTCCTCGTCGTCCTCCTCCTCCTCCTCCTCGTCCCCGTCCTCGTCTTCGTCCTCGTCCTCCTCCTCCTTGTCCTCGTGTCCCCCCATGGGCCCTCGTCCTTGAACCAGGCATGGTCGCATCCTTCTTGGGGAAGCACAAAGGCTCCAGGGGTGCCTTCTGACCGAAATGTCGAGGAGTTACCCAGCCGTGACGACGAGGGCTCTCATAGACGAGCAGCGGTATTGGCACGGCATCCTCCTGTGAGCAGCGACAGCGACAGCGAGGAGGGAAACCGTTGGCCAAGCCCCGCGCGTACGTGGCCGTCAGTTTCGCTTCGCAGTGCTCCCGGCCCATGGGAGGGGGGTCTGCGTCGTGATCGACCCTCGAGCCAACAGCGCACAGCGTGCAGGGGGACCAGGGCAACACTGTCAGGATTCGGCGACCACAGAGGGTATGGTCACGCCGAAGTGTGGTTTGCGATCGGCGCCGTTAGGGCCTGCGTGGCACGACGCTGCCCTCGTCTGGCCTCCTCGGGGCGCGGCGGAGAGCTCTGTCGGGGTCCCCGCCCGCCGCCCCGCAGGGTGCCCCCCAGGGTGCCGGTTGCAAACCACACCCGTTGCAAAGCACACCCTCAGGCGCCGCCGGGGGTTCCAGGCGCAGATCCAAGAAATCCGCGCGGAGCGCCAAAAGTTTCTGTTTGTGTGGTCGTTTCTTCTTCTGACGAGTGCTCGCGGCGACAAGCGAGGGCGCCACTCTGGAGACGACGCGCCCTCCCTCCGTGCAACTGCTGAGGATGTGGATGACGAGCGCGCGCGGCGCCAAGGCGAGAGCCCCATTTTGAAGACGATTCCCTCGTCGTCGTCGTCGTCCTCGTCGTCGTTTTCGTTTTCGTCGTCGTCGTCGTTTTCGTCGTCGTCGTCGTCCTCGTTTTCGTTTTCGTCGTCGTCGTCGTCGTCGTCGTCGTCGTTGTTTCGCTCGTGGAGCTGATGCCTTTGAAGACGAGCGTTCGCGGCGCGCCCCGGAACTCTCAGGCCAAGCGCTGGGGCCCATCCTGCCGACACGTCTGGGGGCACGATAGGGGAGGAGTTGTATACAAGGAGCGGGGGTGTAGGAGGAGGAGGAGGAGGACGAGGAGGAGGAGGAGGGGCAGGAGGAGGAGGAACAGCAGCAGGAGGAACAGCAGCAGGAGGAGGAGGAGGAGGAGGAGGAGGACCAGTATAAACCCAAGAGTCACCAACGATGTTGGAATAAGCCCTCCCCCCCGGGTCCCTCTTCACCGGCCCCTACAACGGTTCATTTCCACAGAGGGGCCCGCCTCGTTGGAAGACAGCCGTGTGAAGACCCTGAAGCATGCCAAAACATTGTACTCGGTATTCCAACGCCACGGATAAACGTGAATGGTGCGGCTTGACGATCCTGAATCGTGCCAGGACGCTATTTCTGGGATTTCAACACCGCGAATCATCGTACTGGTTGCGCACTCAGAATCGTGAGTCCTTCCAAGCACAATTTCTGGTACGTCGATCATGGGAATCCGTGAAACTTCTGTAACCCTTAACACGAATGTGCGCGGCGCTAAGGCGAGAGCCATATTTTGAAAAGGAACCACCCTCAATCCGTGAAGCTCTCGCAAATTTCGAAAACGAATGTACGCGGCGCTAAGGCGAGAGCCACATTTTGAAAACGACCCGCCCTCAATCCGTGAAGCTCTTGCAAAGTTTGAAAACAGATGTGCGCGGCGCTAAGGCGAGAGCCACATTTTGAAAACGACCCGCCCTCAATCCGTGAAGCTCAACGAGTGTGCGCGGCGCTAGGGCGAGAGCCAAATTTTGAAAACCACCCGCCCCCAATCCATGAAACTCCTTTGCAAATTGTGAAAACGTATATGCGCGGCGCTAAGGCGAGAGCCACGTTTTGAAAACGACCCGCCCTCAATCCGTGAACATCTCGCAACTGCTGAAAACGAATGTGCGCGGAGCTGATGCGAAAGCCACATTTTGAAAACCAACCGCCATCCATCTGTGAAGCTGGTGTTCATTTTTAAGCATCAGGGTCATGCATGGTGAGGAAGTCGCAGGCGAAACGCGCGGCCTGTCCTAAAATCTTGCCTCGGGGTACGACAGGGAGAAGTTCACAAGGAGAAGGAATGGAGGAGGAGGAACGCGAGGAGGAGGAGGAGGAGGAGGAGGAGGAGGAGGAGGAGGAGGAGGAGGAGGAGGAGGAGCAGGAGCAGGAGCAGGAGCAGGAGCAGGAGGAGCAGGAGGAGGAGGAGAACGACAATGTCCCTGGAGGTCCCCAGGAGGCCCCCCCCTGGGCGCCAGGGGGTGGCCCTCGCAGGGCGGCCGCCCGCGGACCGCGGCGCCCCCCAGATCGAAGCGTGGCGCGCTGGGCTGCCAGCGTCGGCGCCCGGGGGCGACATGCCGCTGGGCGCCCGGCCGTGGGCCGACAGGGTCGCGAAGGCCGTCGTCGTCGTCGTCGTCGTCGTCGTCGTCGTCGTCGTCGTCGTCGTCGTCGTCGTCGTCGTCGTCGTCGTGGTCGTCGCCCTCGTCGTCGTCGCCGTCGTCGTGGTCGTCGCCCTCGTCGTCGTCGCCGTCGTCGTCGTCGTCGTCGTCGTCGTCGTCGTTTTCGTCGTCGTCGTCGTCGTCGTCGCCGTCGCTCAGCATCTTCTGACCTCTGCCCATTCCCACTGGGTTATGGCATTTCAGACCCATCAGCCCGTCCTCCTAGGCGGGGATCTGCCCCGCGAAGCCTGAAGGAACAGGCATACATCCCCATCTAGCTGCGTAAGTCAGCTGGTGGGGCCGAGGCCACGCCAGTCGGGATAGGGATCGGTTGACCGATGCTCAGTCGCCGCCCGGGTCCAGGCCTCCTAAATCGGACTGGAGCGGATGGGGTCGGAGGATCGCGCCGCATCGCCGATGCATCGGCGATGCGGCTCGGTTTGGAGCCTCTTCTTCTCCATCCCGCCGTCGGCGATGCGTCGGCGATGCGTCGGCGAGGCGTCGGCGATGCGGCGCGATCCTCCTGACCCGTCGGCTCTGGTCTCGTTGAGAGGCCTCCATTGGTGTCCGAGGCTTGAGGTATTCGGACGTCTTCGTTCGCTCTCGGCGGTTTCCAGCCTCGGGATGCTTTCCAGCAGCTGCGCCTCGCCGAGAGCTGTGCCCGGACCGTCGCGGGCGGCCGCCGAAGACCCCGAGAGATGGCCCGAAGGCCAGACGACGAGGACAGACTGGTCTACTCTGTAAGAACGGTTTTTTGAAGGCAGATCCGCCTTCAAAACATGGTTTTTTGAAGGCAGATCTGCCTTCAAACAATCTACTCTGTAAGAACGGTTTTGTTGAAGGCAGATCTGCCTTCAAAAAACCGTTCTTACAGGGTTGGCCGAAAGGGGGGCAGAGGGCAGGGGGGGGGGGCGGCGCGACAGCTGCTGCTCGCAGTGCACCAGGTTGCGGCCCCGCCGCGGGGTCCGCTCCTCGCTGACGTCGGCGCCTCCTGCGCCAGGGAGGCGCCGGGGAAGCCAGCTCCTGAGCCCATTCGCTGGCCCCTCCGGTTTTTGCCATCCCCCCCTCTCGTGCGACCTTGTCCTCCGAGGGCCTCCACGGGGCCCCTGGGCGACGTCGTGGGCCGCCCCCGCCGTGGCGTGTGGTGGTCGTCGGCAGGCGCGAGCGTCGACCTCGACGGCGTCACGACGGCGACGTCGGCACGGCATCGCTGACGACGTCGGCTAGCGGTGCCGACGACCGCGAGGTCAACGTCGCCGAAGTCGCGACAATGATAGCGACGGCATGGCAACGACGCAGTCGCTGGCCTCGGACCGAAGACGTCGACGCCGACGACGTCTCGGCAGCGACGTCGACGTCGCCTCTGTCGTCGCTCGGAGGCCTGGAGACTTCCCCAAAGTCAGGCGAGGCCAGACGTGCTCCAGAACAGAGGTGCCCTGACGATGGGTCCTCGTGCCTACCTCGGGATACTCATGACATGGGCTAGGTCTTCGTGTCTGGGAATCGTGGCCCCTGCGACGTCTCACTGGGCGGACGTCGACCCGGTCTTCGATCTTCGATCAACCAGTTCCATCATCGATTGATCGATCGATGTCTGGCACAACTTTCAACCAAACGTTCAAGCAATCGCTCATCGATGGTTCGCGTTCTCTCCTCTGCCCTCCCTCCTCCTCTCCAGAAGTGTTGCGCGTAAAAAGACAGAAAAAAACCGTTCAAACAATCGCTCCTCGACCGAGGATTTTGAGCAGCTCACAAAAACAGTCGTGGGAGAACCCAAGCAAGCTGTTCGAACATCTAGGCAGTTCGTTCGAGTCCTCCCACGAAGCGTTACAACATTAGGTCCTCGATCCCCTTATCGATCGGCTCTCGCAGGGCCCACTTCGAATCGATCGATGCGGCTCGATGTCGAGCTCACCCAGCTAGATCCGATGCGATTTCGATTTCGTGGCGATCCGTTTCGGCCCGATGCTTGCACAGCGCAGTCGCTTCTGCTGGCGCAGTTGGCCCGATTCGAGTCTGACCCCGAACCGATGCGGCCCGATTTGATGTTCGCTCCGGTGCGACCCGATTCTCCGATTTGATGCTGACTGATCCTGTCCGAAGCACGGTGAGTCTTTCCTACCGGGCGTCGGCTCAGGGATAGCCCCGCACCGGCCCACAATATTCGGCGGACGGACGCCGACGACGACAACGAGGACGAGGACGAGGACGAGGACGAGGACGAGGAGGAGGACGACGACGACGTCGACGACGAGGACACGAGCACAGGGGGGGGAAGAGAATCCAAGAGGCGACAGGGGATCGGCGTCACCCCAACATACTTATACTAGATGTGCGTCGCCCCCCCAGGGGCGACGCGCGCACCGAGAACTCTTACAGTATATGCGTCGTGGCGGGCGCTTTCTGGCCACACCGCTCGGAAAACGATGTACTACAAGATAGCTATACTACATGGTCGGTTCGGACGCGCGCGTCCAAGGAGGACATAGTACTAGTGTGTCTCTGTGCGTCCCAGGGGAGAGGACGCCTGGGGCTGACCGCCCGGTCGATCGACGCTCCCTCGGCGGGGCTCCCTCGAGAGGCCTACTGGATCGGCACCGTCACCGGCCCCTGGGAGTTCGCGGCGGACGCCGGCCTGGCCGCGGTGCCGCCCTTCGGCCTTGCGCCGGGGGGGGAGCTGCGGCGAGGAGGCGGAGGAGGAGGAAGAGGACCACGATGATGACGACGCGACGATACTGATGCTGCTTCTGACGATGACGACGACGACGACGACGACTAAGATGACGACGACGATGATGATGATGGTGATGGTGGCGGTGGTGGTGGTCGTTTTGGCGATGATGATGCTGGTGATGATGAGGAGGATGATGGTCATGATAAGGATGAGGATGAGGACGAGGAGGATAAGGATGAGGATGAATCTTCGGATGATGATGATGCTGATTATGATGATGATGATGATGATGATGATGATGATGATGATGATGATGATGCTGCTGATGATGCTGATTCTGATGATGATGATGATGATGATGAGTACGATGATGACGATGATGATGATGATTCTGATGATGATGAGGATGTTGGTCGTGATGATGGTGCTGATGCGGACTACGATCATGGTGGTGATGATGAAGGCGGTGGTGATGCTGATGACGATGCTGATGCTGATGCTGATTCTAATGCTGATGCTGCTACTGTTGCTGCTGCTGATGATGATGATGGTTTTTTATGGTGATGATGCTGATGATGAAGATGATGCTGATGATAAGATGATGATGCTGATTACGATGATGCCCATGATGATGCTGATGATGCTGATGCTGATGCTGATGATGATAATGATGACGATAATGATGATGATGATGATGATGATGATGATGATGATGATGATGATGATGATGAGGAGGAGGAGGAGGAGGATCATGATGATGATGATGGATGATGATGAGTATGATGATGATGATGATGATGATGATGATGATGATGATGATGATGATGATGATGCTGCTGCTGATGATGATGATGCTGATGCTGATGCTGATGATGATGATGATGATGATGATGATGATATTATTATTATTATTATGATGAGGCGCCAGGACCTCAGGGCACGTGCGCCCCAATCTTCGTTCAGGCTCGACGACGACGACGAGGATGAGGACGATGATGACGATGGTGGTGGTGGTGGTGATGGTGATGTAGCAGATGCTGTTACTGCTGCTTCTGATGATGATGACGATGATGATGAGGAGGAGGAGGAGCATCAAGGACGAGGGAGAGGGAGGTGAGCAGGAGTGACATGTCTTACCTGCAGCCCGCCGTTCAGACTCCAAGGGTGTTCTGTGCAAGGACCGATCCAGCTCTGGAGATGGAGGATCAGGAGGAGGAGGAGGAGGTAGGCCGCCTTTTCCCTCCTACTCCCCACCCACAACCTTCGAATATTTTCGGAAGTGCCAGTATCTCTCTGCGTCCTCCTTTTCCCTCTGTTCCCCCTTACTCCCTCTCGCCGCCGACGACGACGACGAGGACGACGACGACGGCAGCGGCGGCGACGACGACGTCGACTGCGGCGGCGACCACGACGACAACGATTTATTACGATGGCGAAGGTGACGACGACGTCGACGACGACGGCGCCTGGAGGTTTCGCGAGGTCTCCTGAGGACCCCGTAGGTCTTTGGAGGCTCCCCCCCGAGGCCAACAGTAAGTGCAGAAGCCGCGCGCCAGGCTGCCGCTGCCCTCGCGCTGGCTTCGTCTCCGCACCCCCCTGTCTTCGGAGGCCCTGTCGCGCCGCGCTTTCTCCGCTCCGCCCGGTGCCTTCGCCGCTGGTCGTAAGTCGGGCATGTCCCCCTACAGGAGGAATATTCGAGAATGGTAGAACAAATCTGGGGACTATGCTTCCTGCTCTTTTGGCTATTCGTTTGTTATTTTTGACGATTCTTTACTTGTCCTGAAACATCCGCCTTTCGGAGGACATGCCCGACCTAGCGCCGGTCCCGACAAGCGCCCATGTTGTGACACGAGCAGGGAGGTGCCGGCTCGGGTCGGACCTCCCGCCACGAGCTCTCGCCGCTGTGCCCCCCCCCCCCAGCTCGAGCCGCTCCCGCCCTCGTCGGCGGCATTGGTCGGCGGCATGGGGATGTTTGGTAGCAAGTCATGGGGGCCTGGCGTATACGCCAGTCGTTAAAAGTAGGTATTCTTGGATTCCTTGATCCCAGTCTGCTTCAAGTGCCTTCCTACTTCAAGAACGGGCATGGCTTTGATGTGTTTTGTTACTCTCTGGGGGGGCCTGGACTCAAATTTTCTTCAGTAGCCGCCTTCCTACTTCATGTCTTTACCCACTTCTTCCGACCGACATGTACCCCGTTAGTTCCGTCCTTGTCGTCGATGAGCGTCGACTAGCGTCGATTAGCGTCTGCCAGTCGACGAGATAGCGCCGATTCAGCGTCGGTTCGCGTCGATTAGCGTCGGTTTAGCGTCGATCAGCGTCGACCAGCGTCGATTCGCGTCGATTCGCAAGAGCCGACAAGATGGTATGGAGGCTCCCATGAGTTGCCTCGAACTCTCCCTCTGCCGGCCTCTACAGTGGAAGGCTCTCCTTCTGGCGGCCTCTCCTTCTGGCGGCCTCTACAGTGGAAGCCCATGACAAGAAACGCCCTGCTTGCCTCCAGGGTGCCCTGGGTTTCTTGGGTTCCGATGGTTTTGCTGTGGAAGGCGTGACGTTCCCACACCACCAATCAATGGAAGTCCTGGGGTCTCAGGGTCGGGTTTCTTGTGGAAGGTTTCTTGTGGTCGAGCTCCTACTGTACCCCGCAAAATCGGCGTCACCCCACTGTGCGGGTACTATGTGTGCGTTGCCCCCCTCCCCCCCCCCCAGGGGCGACGCGCGCGCGCCGAGACATCTTGGAGTGTAAGCTCCGTGGCGGGCGCTTTTTGGCCACACCGCTCGGGGAGCGATATACGATGATGATGGTTCTACTATATGTTCGGGTCGGACGCGCGCCTCCGAGGAGGACATAAAGTACTGGTATGTCCTTCTTCTCCTCCTCCGCCTCCTCCTTCTGGAAGTCCTCCTGGAAGTCCTCCTCCTCCTCCTCCTCCTCCTCCTCCGCCTCCTCCCCCTGGAAGTCCTCCTGGAAGTCCTCCGCCTCCTCCTTCTCCTCCTCCGTCTCCTTCTCCTCCTGGAAGTCCTCCTCCTCCTCCTCCGCCTCCTCCTCTTCCTCCGCCTCCTCCTCCTCCTCCTCCTCCGCCTCCTCTTCCTCCTCCTCCGCCTCCTCCTTCTCCTCCTCCTCCTTCTCCTCCTCCTTCTCCTCTTCCTCAGTATCATCCTCTTCCTCCTCCTCCTCCTCCTCCTCAGCGATGTCGGTTCGGGTTGGGTACCCTGATGTTCTTCGCGCTTGTTGGGTGTTCTTGTGCTTCCTGGCGGGTGGAGGGTACCTTCGAGTGTTCCTCGGCTTGGCCGGCCGAGGGTCTCCTGTTCTTGGAGGACGTTCTGCCGTCCTGGGTCCGGCCGTGCGCTTTCGGAGGTCCGTGCGGATTAGATTTAGGATCGGCGCGGACCCCATTGGCGGCGCCTCTGGCGCCGCTCAGGGCAGTCGCGGGCGACCTCGCTTTCGAGGGCCGCTGGGTTGAGGGTTGAGGCGGCCATCGTTACGTTGTGCCTTGGGGTCCTCGAGGAAAAAAAAGGCCGCTGGGGGCGGCCGAAGATCTTTGCTGCAGGGTTCGAGGATGGAGGAACGGACTCGGTCAGAGTCTGGGCGCCAGGCGAGCGTTCTCGCGACTGCCGCCGGACGCTTCGGCCCGCCCTCGCGGGGCGCCCCACGGTCCTGTCGTGCGTGCACCGCTGGTCTCTGAGACTTTGACCGGATGTGAGTAAAGCACTGGGAGGATTCTGTGAAGGCACACCGCGCGTACCGAGTCCAGCGTTTCCGCTCAGCTTTGTGGAGTAGCAGGTAGTTCTCGTACATCCTGTGCAATGGTTTGGAGGCGGCATAAACGTCACCGATACGCAAATAATGCTTGCGGCCTGATCAGCGACACGACCGCATTCAATTCAGCACATGAAGTCGTTCGGCTGCAAGACGGGCGGGCTCCAAGATTCATCGTATCTCGTTGCCTTCGCCCCATCCTGTCACCGATCCTGGATTGTGGGCCAGAGTCCTCTTAGATGCCTTGGGGCGTCTGAAGATGCCTCTTGGAGGCCTCTTGTATGCTTCCTGAGCGCCTCTTAGGCGCCTCTTGGGGGTCTCTTGGCGGCCTTCTGGGACCTGTTGCGCACCTTCTTGCCTGGGCCTCTCAGCTCTTTCGGGGGCCATCCTGGCACCAGGGGGGTCCAGGGGCTAGTTCGTGTTTCTGTTCCTGGGGCCGAACCTTGGAAAGCAAGGTGTCACTTGATACGTCGCACTTCGCACCTGCGGATAGGAGTGCGGGGGCGGCGGCGGGGGCGAAAGTAAGGCCCCCATGCGTTGCCCCGACGTGTTGCTCCCATGTGTTGCCCCCATGCATTGCCCCCATGCGTTGCCCCCCAGGGTCGCACCATGTACTGCTCCCCCAGACATCGACACGGGTTCCCGACCTCCCGACCACCTCCCCGGGACGGGCTTTCCATCCCGAGTCGTTTTTTGACGGTCCCGAGGCCCGGTGAGGGCCCTGAGAGGTCGAAAACTGTGAAAGGCCTCCGTCTCGATTTTTTCGAGACGCCCGATGTGCTGCTCCCATGTTACTGCCTCCATGTATCGCCCCCAGGTCTTGCCCCTGCAAGTCTCGCCCCCGCGCTTTGCCCCCCGGGTGTCGCCCCCCCCCCCCCCCCCCCACGTATTGCCCCCAAGCATCGCCCCCATGCGGTGCCCCCAGGAAATCGCCCCTGGAGGCAGAGAGGGAGCCCTCTCCATCCCGCCACGCGCGCGCGCAGGTGCGAAAGCGAGGCCGCTCGGGCCCCCGCGCGCCGATTGCATACTTCCGGACGAGTCACGCGGCAGGCCCCAGGAACTCACCGCCCACCAAACCACCCCAACCCAACCCGAAGGCCCCCATTTGCCCTCCATTTCCAGTTGGGGGGGGTCGGGGAACGTTGAGAAAACACACATGAAGCTCGTACCCCCCCAACCCGAAATTCGGGTCTTCGGGTTGGGTTGGGGTGGTTTGGTTGGTAGCCAGGAACGGGCGAGAGCGTCGGGGAAAACTGTTCCCAGGGCCCCTCGAGTAGTACAGTCGGACCGCGCTATAAGATCGAGGTCGGCTCGGGGTGTATACCCTGGTGTTCTTCGTGTCTGTTGGAGGATGCTCTGGTGCATCCTGGGGAGGGTGCCCTTGGATGTTCTGCTTGTTTTGGCCGATGGAGGGGCTCATGTTCTTGAGGGATGTTCTTCTGGCCTAGGTCCGACTGTACTCTCCGCAATTCGGCTCGCAGAAGGTGTTTTTTATTGGCGAACCCTTTGGGTGCGGGGCTTGAGCCGGCCGGGCTCGGAGTTGCTTGGTCTTGTTTCCTTATTTTGGTGGTTCAAGGATGGGGTCCTATGGGTTGGGGTCCTAAGGACGAGGTGCCCCAAACCGTGTGAATCCACCCATACATCCCTTCCTATCCTCATGGCCCCATCACTCAGGACCCCATCTCTGAACCACCGCTTATTGTGGGGTTCGTCGAGGTTGCTTGGTCTTGCTTTCTTACTGTGGCGTTCCCCAGGGTGGCGTGGTCATGTTTCCTTGCTCTTGGTTTCCCAGGGCTGCTTGGCCCTGTTTCCTGACTGCATTCCCCGAGTTGCTACGGTCTTGTTTGCAAGCAGCGCCATACAGCGCCCAGCAATGCGAAGCAGCGCCAAGCAACGCCAAGCGCAAAGCAACGCCATGCAGTACCAGGGAACAAGCAACGCAAAGCGATGCCGAGCCCCGTCAAGCACAAGCAATGCCGGGCAATGCCCAGCAATGCCAAGCAACGAAAAGCAATGAACACCAATGCCAAAAGCAGTGCCAGGCAAGCACATTAACGCCCAGCATCGCCGAGCATCGCCAAGCAATGCAAGGCAATGAAAAGCAATACCGAACAACGCCAAGCAATGCGCCAGTGCAACATGAAGCTTTCCCCTGATGGGGCTCGCGGCGGGTTCATCCCATCTGCACCAGAAAGAACTCGAAGGGGCCTGCGGACATTCCACTCAGAGCCTACGGCACGGTGGCGGATATCAGCCTCTCTTTGCAACGAGCGGAGACGTCATCGTGACTCCGAGCGTTTGTGCCAATCCGTGCGCACGCCGCCTCAATCCAGGCCGCCGTGCTCGACGACGCGCACGGGGCTCCTCGACGACTGCTGGGCTACTGTCCGCGAGGAGCGTGTCGTCTGTGCGCACGGGGTCTCGTCACCGTCCCTCCTTCCAGCGCGTCCAGGGTCTGTTCACTCGCCTTCTGAGTTTCGGCGCTCCGGCGCCCCCGCCGAGCTCTTAGAGGGCCCCCCCCTGGGCGAACATCGGCGCCTTGCCTCGCCTCGCCTCTTCGCAGAAGACAGTGATCATCTATCACACGAGTCGTCGTCGCGATGATGTAGACAGGCGGCGGACGAGGCCAACACTGGCCGATGCCACTGTGCTACGCGAGCTCGGGTGGGTCGGCAAAGGAGTCGGCCACGATGTTCCCACCTCTCGTGGATTGATGCAACCGTAATGTGGCGGTGCAAAGTCGACCACGCCTTCGCCAAATTCAGCGCGAGCATCAGGACTTGCCCGTCATTGGCGGTCCAAGCCTCCTCCGAAACACGACGGGCAAGGAACACTTGCTCTGCGGATCTGCGTCCTGACCTGAAGCCGAGTTATGCTTCCCAAAAGACGTCCTCGTCTTCTGTCTCCTATGGCCTGCTCTGGAGGATCTAACTTGTTACTATTTGGCCATACACTGTTTGCGCGGTCATCGCGGCAATCTGCAGGGCAGCCCTTCTTGAAGATAATCCTGGCCAGAACATTTGCCACGCTTCTGGAGCTCTCGCGCTGGCCTGAACCGTGTTGCGGAGTCTCCAGAGCCTCGCCAGCAAAGTCAAGCCCGCGCTCGGGCGGCGAGCTGTCGCGGCCAGCCGCTCTGCCTCGGCGGATCCTCTTGACGGCGGTTCATACTTCTGCGGCCCTGCTAGGCAAGAAGGCTCCAGATCGCTGGACTTTCGAGCCTCGATCCTCGATCCTCGATCCTCGGCCCTCGGCCAGAATCTCAAGGTGGATCTAGCCCTGGCCACGAGGGCGCTCGCGGAGGCCCAAAAAGGCACCAAGGACGTTAGCTCTCTCGCCTCGATCTTCGGTTCTCGGCCCTCAACGACGACGACGACTGGGACGATGGCGGCGGCGGCGGCGGCGGCGGCGGCGGCGGCGGCGGCGACGACGACGACGACGACGACGACGACGACGACGACGATGACGAGGGCGACGACAGCGACGGCGACGGCGCCGAGGTGCCGAGGCTGCAGCTGCTCCGGCTGGCCGCGGCGCACCCCGACGAGCTGGTGGCGGAGTGGAGCGGCGTGGCGGGCTACGGCACCGAGGGGGAGGAGGGGGAGGCGGAGGAGGAGGAGGAGGAGGAGGAGGAGGAGGAGGAGGGAGAGGAGGAGGAGGAGGAGGAGGAGGAGGAGGAGGAGGAGGAGGGGGAGGAGGGGGAGGAGGAGGAGGAGGAGGAGGATGAGGAGGAGGAGGAGGAGAGGAGGAGAGGAGGAGGAGAGGAGGGGGAGGAGGAGGAGGAGGGGGGAGGAGGAGGAGGAGGGGAGGGGGAGGAGGAGGAGGAGAAGCGGAGGAGGAGGAGGACGAGGAGGAGGAGAGGAGGAGGAGGAGGGAGGAGGAGGAGGAGAGGGGGAGGAGGAGGAGGATAGGAGGAGGAGGAGGAGGAGGAGGAGGAGGAGGAGGAGGAGGAGGAGGAGGAGGAGGAGGAGGAGGAGGAGGAGCACGCCTAGGGGCAAGCTGAGGAGGGAGGAGCCTGGCCCGCTCTCTCACAGCCGGCCTCGGGGTGCGGCGGGGAGGAGGAGGAGTCGATAGAAGGAGAAAGGAATTTGAGGAGGTGAGGTGCAAGGACTTTTCTTTCGCTGTTCTTCTTCTTTCTCTTCCTGTGCTATGATTACTACGACTCTTCATACTCTTAGTATTTTGGTTGTTGTTGTTGTTGTTGTTGTTGTTGTTGTTGTTGTTGTTGTTGTGGTTCTTCTTCTTTTTGTTCTTATTCTCCTTCCTAATAGTATCATTCTTCGGGTTATGGTTATTGGTATTAATCGTATTTTTCACTATTATTATTTTTATCATTACTATTATCATCATTATTCGTTCTATTATTCGGATTCCCATCATTGTGGTCTGCTTGTTCGCTCGCTTCCGTGTTTTTGGTTCTTTGCGCAGCGAGCGTTGTAGAGGTTCCCGCCACCGTGCCAGGGTCATGGATCAGAGACCTGCCTCAAGCCTTTTACGGTATTGAGGGGGGCCTTTGGGAGGCTTCTTTGGAGGATTTGTGTCGGCGTGTAGCGCTGTCCTCTGAGGCCGTTTAGGGCTCATCCAGAGGCTGCCTTCGTCATGGGGGCCTCTTGGGGCCCTCTTGGGCTACTGGGCGTCGCTGGAATCATATAGAAACCATGTTGGGCCGGGAAGCCGAACCTGCGAACCGCAATCCGAGCGTCTCGGAATCTCTCCTGGGGCCTTCGGTGGGTCCCCTGGGAGCTCGAGGGGATCCTGGGCCGTTTCGAGTGCTTCTTGGGGGAGATGCTGGGGACGGTTTTTGGAGGGGTGCAGCTTCGGGCAAGTTCCCGCGACACAGTCCAGGAACGCCCGATAGTTCATGCAAGCCACGGGTCGGTGCCAGGAGTCCTGCATTCCCCTCTGAACTCACAATTGTACAGTTGTATGAGCGTCGGGGTACTCGACCACGTGCCGAAGGTACGATGGCGCATACAGTCGGGCCGCTGAAGAAGGAACTTTTTTTTGTTTGAGAGGGGCCCAATGCTCCTTGTATAATTATTGTACAGTTCCTCCCAGGTTTTCCTTAAGACAGCGTTTCGACTGTAGAAGGTAGGCCCAGTGATGACTGAGCCATCGGACGATGCGGTTGCCCGCGGGGTGTCTGGCGCATCTCAGGGCGCAAGGCTCATCACACCCACTGGTGCAACGGACGATTTGGTTGCCCACGGGTTGTCATGCGCATTTCCTCCTCCTCCTCCTCCTCCTTCTCCTCCTCCTCCTCCTCCTCCTCCTCCTCCTCCTCCTCCTCCTCCTCCTCCTCCTCCCCCCCCTCCCCCTACCCCTCCTCCTCCTCCTCCTCCTCCTTGGTACGGTCGCTCCTCCTCCTCCTCCTCCTCCTTTATTTCGCAATCTATGGCACCCCGGCTGAGGCAACAGACGATTCGGGTTGTCCCCAGGGTCTCTAGCGCACCCGATTGTATTTCCCAACCATCCTGTGGTGTTGGGTCCTCGTTTTGAAGAGACGGTGGCCCGCGTCTCCCCTCCTCTCCTCCTCTGCCCCCTCCTCCTCCTCCGCGTTTCACCCACCCAGTACAGCGTTTCGTGGCCCCATAGGGAGCTCCACCGAAGGCCCCAGTGGCCGCGTTCGCATGGCGGCCTCGGGCCATTTCGGCACACCCCTCACGAGGATCGTGGCCCCATAGGGAGCTCCACCGAAGGCCCCAGTGGCCGCGTTCGCATGGCGGCCTCGGGCCATCTCGGCACACCCCTCACGAGGATCGTGGCCCCATAGGGAGCTCCACCGAAGGCCCCAGTGGCAGGGTTCGCATGGCGGCCTCGGGCCATTTCGGCACACCCCTCACGAGGATCGTGGCCCCATAGGGAGCTCCACCGAAGGCCCCAGTGGCAGGGTTCGCATGGCGGCCTCGGGCCATTTCGGCACACCCCTCACGAGGATCGTGGCCCCATAGGGAGCTCCACCGAAGGCGCCAGTGGCCGCGTTCGCATGGCGGCCTCGGGCCATTTCGGCACACCCCTCACGAGGATCGTGGCCTCCACCGAAGGCCCCAGTGGCAGCGTTCGCATGGCGGCCTCGGGCCATTTCGGCACACCCCCCATGCGGATCGTGGCCCTATAGGAGCTGCACCGAAGGCCCCCAGTGGCAGGGTTCGCATGGCGGCCTCGGGCCATTTCGGCACACCCCTCACGAGGATCGTGGCCCCATAGGGAGCTCCACCGAAGGCCCCAGTGGCAGGGTTCGCATGGCGGCCTCGAGCCATTTCGGCACACCCCTCACGAGGATCGTGGCCCCATAGGGAGCTCCACCGAAGGCCCCAGCGGCAGCCTCCCTCATGGCTCTCAGAGCCCTCTCCTGCTTCTGCTCCTCGGTGAGAGGGACGCCGTCCTCGTCGTCGTCGGCGCCCGCGAAGACGGCCACGAACGTGCCCCTGAACATTTCGGGCTCGGGCGGGAAGTTGTGGCCGCATCGGGAGCGCGGGCGAAGATGTTATTCGCAAGTGCGGTAGTCACAACTGCGCATGGTTGAGTCTTTCGCCAGGCTATTTTTTTCCCCAACCATCCTGTGGTGTTGGGTCCTCGTTTTGAAGAGACGGTGGCCAGCGTCTCCTCTCCTCCTCTCCTCCTCCCCCTCCTCCTTGCGTTTCACCCACCCAACACAGCGTTTCGTAGCCCCATAGGGAGCTCCACCGAAGGCGCCAGTGGCAGGGTTCGCATGGCGGCCTCGGGCCATTTCGGCACACCCCTCACGAGGATCGTGGCCCCATAGGGAGCTGCACCGAAGGCGCCAGTGGCAGGGTTCGCATGGCGGCCTCGGGCCATTTCGGCACACCCCTCACGAGGATCGTGGCCCCATAGGGAGCTCCACCGAAGGCGCCAGTGGCAGGGTTTGCATGACGACCTCGGGGGCCATTTCGGTATACCCCTCACGAGGATCGTGGCCCCATAGGGAGCTCCACCGAAGGCCTTAGTGGCAGGGTTCGCATGGCGGCCTCGGGCCATGTCGGCGCACCCCTCACGAGGATCGTGGCCCCATAGGGAGCTCCACCGACTGCCCCCAGTGGCAGGGTTCGCATGGCGGCCTCGGGCCATTTCGGCACACCCCTCTCGAGGATCGTGGCCCCATAGGGAACTGCACCGAAGGCCCAGTGGCAGGGTTCGCATGGCGGCCTCGGGCCATTTCGGCACACCCCTCACGAGGATCGTGGCCCCATAGGGAGCTCCACTGAAGGCGCCAGTGGCAGGGTTCGCATGGCGGCCTCGGGCCATTTCGGCACACCCCTCACGAGGATCGTGGCCCCATAGGGAGCTCCACCGAAGGCCCCAGTGGCAGGGTTCGCATGGCGGCCTCGGGCCATTTCGGCACACCCCTCACGAGGATCGTGGCCCCATAGGGAGCTCCACCGAAGGCCCCAGTGGCAGGGTTCGCATGGCGGCCTCGGGCCATTTCGGCACACCCCTCACGAGGACCGTGGCCCCACTGGAGCTCCACCGAAGGCGCCAGTGGCAGGGTTCGCATGGCGGCCCCGGGCCATTTCGGCACACCCCTCACGAGGATCGTGGCCCCATAGTTGTGCTGCTTCAACAACCGCGCCTGGGCGTCGTACTCCGCCTTGTCGACGTGCAACGCCACCTCCTCCCTCATGGCTCTCAAGGCCCTTTCCTGCTTCTGCTCCTCGGTGAGAGGGACGCCGTCCTTGTCGTCGTCGGCGCCCGCGAAGATGGCCACGAACGTGTCCCTGACCATGTCGGGCTCCGGCGGGAAGCCGTGGCCACATAGGGAGCGCGGGCGAAGATGGTATGCACAATTGCGGTATTCACAATTGCATATGGTTGGGTCTTTCGCCAGGATAATTCTCCCGACGGGTTTTTGTTTGTTGGCTGGTTTTGGCAATCGCCTCCCCTCTCAGCAGGCCTCCGCGGGCCAGGAAGGGGCAGAACATGTTCAAAACCTAGAGACCTCGATCGTTGAGGAGGTGTCCCTCTCGCCTCTCCCCTGCTGCGGGAAGCGGGCACCCCCTTCGTGTTCGACCCCGTGTTTGTCCCCCCCCCCCCCCCTGGTTCGAAGTTGGTTTTGGATCCGCCCCTCACGACTATGCTGCGCAATGCCCAGGATTGGCTCTGGATTCGTTTGTCCCCTCACGACTGTGCTGCCCAATGTCACTAGCCCAAAACATACCCGGACCCGGGGTCAGCTGGGGTGAAAAGGGCCGCCCGCTAGAGCGTTTTCGGCCTTGCCGCCACCTCGTCTGGGTACGGGTCGGTGCCCGAAACAACCATACATACCCGGACCTAGCTGGGGTGGTGGTTGGGTCACCCCGTCTAGGTACGGGTATGGATGGTGGTTTCGGGAGCCGACCCGGACCCAGGGGGGGTGATGCCCCGAGGGCCCCTTGCCACCCCGTCTGGGTAAGGGTACGGGTATCTTTCGCGCTCGAGACAATGCCCAGAACCAGTTGTGAAGGAGAAGGTGTGGGGGGCCCAAAGGGGGGGGGCGCACCTTTGTGCCCTTCTGTTGCCCAATGCCTGGGGCCAATTTTGAATCTGGGAACGGGGGGGGGGAGGCGGAGTGAGGGGTTTCTCGGGAGGGGTTAGGGCAAGGATGAATCTGTTCCAGAGCGTTCCGGGACGCCCTGATGAGGCCGCGGTGCCCGATGCATCCTCCAAAACCGTTAGATCTCAGGGATTCTCGATGTATCCTCACCCGATCTGATCCTCGTCCTGGCTTCGTCTTCGGGAGGGGTTTCCTTGCTATGCCCCTCCGCGGCAGGGCGCCCTTGGCGGGGGTTGGCCGGGCCACCCCTCACATCCGCACGGGCTTGTGGCTGCTGCCTCCCCCTTCGGAGGCCGGGGCGCTGCGGCTCTGTCGGGCCGCCCCTCGGCGGTCCCGCCTCGCCCCCAGTGCTCGGGGGCTGCTGGGAAGTGCCCCCGGCCCAGGGTGCCCCCGGGATTCTTCCAAGGATGCCCCCCACGGCCTCGAGAGCATCCCTCACGAGGCCCAGGGTGGCCCCGGGAGCTCCGCGAGGGAGCGAAAAGCTGGGGGCGCCTCGGGCCAGGGGGCACCTTCCGGCAGCCCCCAGACGCAGGCATCAGCTGGGTCAGCGGCCAGTCGCAGCTGCGGGGCGCCCTGGCCGCGGAGGGAGCGCGCGGTGTCCAGAATTTCACGGGCGTCGAGAAGTCGGAGTACAAGGGGTGCTCCGAGGGTGAGGGAGGAGGAGGAGGAGGAGGAGGAGGAGGAG